ACCTTGCTTACAGAAATGTGTTTTTTCTTTGCAGATGCTGTCAGTTACCCATATCACATCAGCATAGAATGGGTTCTAATCCCTTCTGAGTGGTGTCTTATAAAAAGGGAAGCACACATGGATGCCCTGTGATGAAGGCAGATGCATCAATATGCAGCAAAAGGATGCTAAGGATTCACACCAGAAATTAGGAGACATGGAACAGTTCCTCTCCCAAATGTCTTTCAATAGAAGAGGCCATAAACTGTGATATATTTATGCAATAGACTACAACACAGAAATTAAAATGAACATATTACTGTTATACTCAACACATATGGAAGAATCTCACAATGTAGAGTGAAATAAATCAAGAAACCAAAGAATACATTTATAAGATTTCATTAATTCAAAAACAAGATAAACTAATCCATGGTATTAGAAATCAAGATAATGGTTACCTTTGGGGAAGACGAAGAAGGTAGGGATGTGGAGGAGAAAGGAGAGCGACTTCTGGGTACTAGGATATTCTGTAGGGTGGTTGTACAGGTATTTTTGTGATAATATAATTTATATCTGTTGCATGTATATTTTATTTTAATAAAAATAAAAACCAAGACAGTACGCACACTAAAGCGAAAAATTTTTTTAAGAATATGCATTTTAGAAAAACCAAGTAAACTATACGATGTAAGTGACAAACATAACTTAGTTATACTTAGTAGTGATAAGAAAAATACTTAGGTGTTTACTAGGCTCCAAAAGAGAGACAAAGCATATTATATTGCTAAGTTATTTTTAATATGCTGATAGAACAGTAATTCTAAATGCGCTTTTGTTTTTATTGTTGTTAAGTGTAATTGTAAAGTTGATTCTGACTTATAGCAACCATTTATAGATTTCTGAGGAACAGTTGTGGGTTTGAACTGCTGACCTTGTAGTTAGCAGTTCAGTGCTGACCCTACAGTGCCACATCAGGACTGCTAAATGTCCTAAGATGTGTCATATATTTATAAGTAAATCAGCAACAGGAGTAGAAACTTTTCTCTGAAATCTGTTAGCAGTGTTGTTGTTAAGTGCCAT